TGGGTTCAGATTTCAGTGCTTGGTCACTCTCTTGCAGGAGCTTGGGCAAGTTGCTTAACCTCATTGGGCCTACTTTGCACCTGGAAATGATAATGAATTTATTAGTCACCTTTTGGGAGTATTAGAAGGCTTCATTGAAATGGTGTAAATCATCCTAAGGACTGGCAGGAAGCGAGCCTTCAATAAATGCTAACAGCAATTTCTGGTACTGAAGATAACAATGATCATTGTGGAAACCAGTAGGCTGAGGAAACTTCAGCCAGTATTTCTGCAAAAGTGATTTCTGTCCTCCACCGCCCATATCACCATTGATTTCTTTGCAGGACTCCTTTTCCTTAGAAAGTTGTCTGTGCTTATTTATCTCCCTTTCCTCACCTTCCCCTCTCTCTTAATCCATATCTGTTTTTTTTAATAATAGCTTTATTGAGATATAATTCACATGCCATCAAATTCACTCTTTCAAAGTGTATAGTTCCAAATTTTTCTAGAATATTCACAATGTTGTGCAACCATCACGACTATCTAATTCCCGAATATGTTCATCATCCCCAAAAGAAACTCATGCCCATTAGCAGTAACTCCCCATTCTTCCGTGGAAAATGCTAATTTACTCCCTGTCTGTATGGATTTGCCTATTCTAGACATTTCACAAATGGAATCAGACAATATCTGGCCTTTTATGCCTGGCTTCTTTCATGTGGCATAATTCATTTAGCATAATTCTTTGACTTAACGGTTCTTCATTCCTTTTTTTTTTTTAAGATTTATTTATTTGACAGAGAGAGCACAAGTAGACAGAGAGGCAGGCAGAGAGAGAGAGAGAGAGAGAAAGAGAGAAGCAGGCTCCCTGCTGAGCAGAGAGCCTGATGCGGGACTCGATCCCAGGACCCTGAGATCATGACCTGAGCCGAAGGCAACGGCTTAACCCACTGAGCCACCAAGGCGCCCCTCTTCATTCCTTTTTATTGCTGAATCATGTTCCATTGTCTGGCTATACCGTGTCTTATTGATGCATTCACAACTTGATGGACATTTGGTTTGCTTCCCCTATTTGGCTATTGTGAATAATATTGCTATAAATATTCATGTGCAAGTTTTTGTGTGGACATATGTTTTCTTATCTCTTAGGCACATGCTTAGGCGTAGAATTCTGGGTTTACATGGAAACTCTGTTTAACTCTTCGAGGAAGTGTCAAGCTCTTTTCCAAAGCAGTAATACTCTTTCACCTTTCTGCCAACCGTGTAGGAAGGTTTTAATTCTCCATAGTCTCGCCAACACTTGTTATTGTCTTGCTTTTTTTTTCCTCTCTAATTGCCATTCTGTTGAATATAAGGCAATATTTTCAGTGTGGCTTTGCTTTGTATTTCACTACTGACTAATGATGTTGAATCTGTTTTCAGTTAGGTGTTTATCACCCTGATTTCACTGAAACCAACTCAGGTTTTCAACATTGACACTGATGATTATTCCTTCCTTCTTGAAATTCCTTCCTCTCTCAACTCTAGCACTGACCCTTCCCTGACTTTCCTCACTGTATCCTTGAATCTTTTTTTTTTTCCTTCCCAAACTTCAAATGTTTAAGTGTCCCAATTCTGAATTTTTATCTCTGCCCACTATTTATTTTTCCCTAACACTTATCTTTACCTGCAGTTAAATTGTGTATTTATTTACTTGTATATGTTGCATTACCTATTGGAATGTACGTTTGTGGGGGGAAGGACTTTGTCTTGTTTGGTACTGGTTCCTAGAGTAGTACCTGGTTATAAATAATTTTGCATGAATAACTGTACTAGAAGAGTATAAATAGATGTTATATGAATAAGGACCCAAGATCTCCATTATTAAATAAGTTTCCCGGTTGCTAATTGAACATACTTAATTAAGTGTATTCAATGTGGTTCTTGTCTGATACCTTAATACGCTTATGAGCCTTGTGAAATTTTACTTGACCATGAAACCATTTTTGGTGTGGAGTATGTCATGGCTTTTCTGAAGTATTCTTCTAACTTAAGCAGCTATACTGCTTGAAACACTAGCAAAATTTAAATTCTAGCAAAAAATAAACCCTGGTAAAATTTTGGGAGGGCTTTGTTAAATAGAAGTTTTGCTACCACTTAGAAAGGTAAGAGGTGATCACCAAGGCTCCGTACGAACTCACTAAGGACAGGTTATGTCCAAATATCCCCATGTGTGCCATTCATAGCGCTTTGTTTGTTTGATTTGTTTTGTTGGAATACCATCCTATTGAAAGGCCATGGTAATGGTATTTGTTCACAATAGTGAAGTTGTGAGCTGGCTTTATCATGATTTCCTTTCTCTGAGAAGTCGAGTGTGTTGTCAGGATCTTGTGATCAGTCTGTCACTTAAGAATTTATATCAAGATATCAGGCAGGGTTGAGGTCTGGACCCTTGGGGAGAATTACCTATGTGGTGAGCTGTTTGTTGTCATCAGTGTCACAGTAAATCTTAGTGGCTACCAGTGATCAGGAATGACATTTCCAGGACTGGGTGATAACAGAGCTTATAGAGATAGCCCTGAACACTAAACCCAGGCAGACAAGGTAAAGAAAAGGAGACATAGGATGGGCCTGGACTCTGGAGGTTCCCCTAATATAATATTAAGTCCATGGCCGGGACTGCTTCATTAGTGTACCACAACAAGTCTATCCTTAAGGATAAGGCACAGAGGGTGACAGAGTGCAGGAAGCCAGGGAGCATTTAGTAATAGTAGGTCTTCCATAACCCAGTTGGGCAGACAAAACAGTGAGTGACCCTGGTGCCTCTGGTCACTTTTAGCAGGAAAGAGCTCAGGAACCAGATGGATAGTCTAAAAAGAGGACATTGGCACCACCTGGGAGTTTGCTTGAAATGCACATTTTGGGGGCCCGGGAGGTCCGTGTCTCACCAAGCCCAGATGCACGCTCAACTTTTAGAACTACCAGTCAAAGCAATAGAAAGAAGCTGCAGCCACAAACTAGAACTGTACCCCCACTACAGGAGCTTCTTAAATCTCTTCCTTACTAGAATGGGATCCAGTCCCTGGAGGTGATCTCTACTTGGTCTGAAGGGGAAAAAAATGATAATAAAAAAAGAAAATAAGAATAATAGTGCTGTAGCTACGTGTATTGAGTGCTGATGATGCTTTGCACAGGCTTAGCGGCTTTGAATCCTCTTAATGACCATGTGGGGTAGACACTGTTCCCATTCCTGATGCAGCTGCGGATACAGAGATCCAGGCCCTTCTGAGGCAGGGGCCATGGCCAGTAAGTGGTTGGTCAGGGTTGGCAGCAGGCAGTTGGACAGCAGAGCCCTGGTGTGGAATATCTGATTATTCCACGTACAAGGAAGATGGTGGGTGGGTGGGTGGGTGGATAGAAGAAAGGAAGAAAAGCAGGAAGCAGGGTAGAAAGGAAGGAAGGATAAAAGGAAGAAAGAAAAGGGAAAGAATGAGAGGAAGGAAGGAGAGTTTCAGGTGTGGGAAGCAAGGGTCGAGGGAAGCCTCCTTCCCAGGTGGGCTCTTGCCTTGAACTGTGACATTTTTCTGGTCTCACCTTGAAGTCACACAGCCTGTGTCTTTCGGCATATCCAGCCCAAGCACATCCTCCATTGCTTTCTCCTAAGACTTTGGTCCACGGGCAGTTTGCAAATTTATGTTTCCCCATTTATTTGTTCCCCTTGTCTCCCTACACTCACACAATCTTTGTAACTCGTCCCAGTTACTGAGCAATCCATGACTGCCTTCATCAACTGGAGAATATTCTGGCAAAAACATGTCCTTCTTTGGGGACTGTGCACTCAGGGGCTGATGGGAAGCTCCTCTGCCTTCATTCACCTTGGACCGCCTTGTCCCTACCTCTGCTTTAATAGCATATCATTTTTCCCTTTCTTGTGCAGCGAAGCCACAGGGACACTTAATCTCACATTCTCCAGAGGCCCTCTGGAAGCTCAGAGACTGATCTCCGTAATCAAGAAGGGGTGGGTGTGATCAGGGACTAAGTTTGATTCTTTGTCTGCCTCTCTACCTTTAGGCTTTTCATTTTCACATTCCTCCCCACGGTTTGTAATAAACGCAGGAACATAGCTCAAGGGCAGGAATGAGGTTTAACTTGAGCTGAGGTACAATAGAGGCTATTTGGAAAGTAAAACTTTCAAATGGCAGTTTAGCCTTGAAGAATATACTGAATTAGATATGCAGTGTGCCTTGATTCACGATCTCTGCATAATAGCATAGCTCTGTCTATTACCTGGGTGCTTTCATAGGCTGGAGACATGGGCTGTTTAATAGATGGAACTCATTGAAGGAGCGTCGAAGCTCATGAAGTGTGTGGGGACAAGAGCCACAAGCCCTGGGTTCCTGTATAGACACTGAACCTCCTGCGGGGCCTTGACCACTTCTGAGGGTAGATTTCCTTACCTGTAAAGGGGGTTCTCAGCGTAGAAGTTGCCTCCTGGGATTATTCAGAGCAGTCCATCAGATCAGTGCTAAGCATCGATCTTTCTTATCACAATAAGTCAACGTTTAATAAAGGAGAACTATTTGTATTACTTTTACATGATTTCTGCTTGAAAAACCTTAATTCTGTAACTTGGCCCACACCCTTCGCTACCGTCCCTTATTTGCTCCCACGCAATTTTCCCTTGGCCAAGTCTCATTTCTTGTCACTTTCAGAGTCACTGTGGTCACCTGTCACTTCACAGCACTGGCTAACTATAGCCAAGACTGACAGCTATGAATAATTCCACAGACCCCCTAAAATGTTCTGGCATTTCACTCAAATTCTCATCCATGCCACCACACCGTTCTCCCTTGTTTTAGGCCTCTCTGTTCTCCATGGATTTCAGATACAGTTACTGAAGGTGAACGTTCTCCTCCTCTGGAAAATAATCTAGCAGGAACCAATGTGAAGTAATTGGGCTTCATGGGAGCATCACTGTCAAGTCTAGAAATATATGGGGAGATAATCACATTTCATTTTTTTCCTCTCTCATTCATTTTCAGCATGTTCATGTCCACGTTCTTCCGAGGAAGGCTGGAGACTTTCAAAGGAATGACAGCATCTATGATGAGGTGGGTCTGTTCTCTCTGATCTCATTGCGTGATCACAGGGGCTGTCGGTGTGAGGAAATCAAGCTGATGAACCAGGTATCACCCTGGATATATGGGCTTATGTGGGATTCTGCCCAATATGACTTGGGAAGTGGCAGGAGAAGCCAAGGAGCCAAGAATGTCCATGACAGGAACCAAAGACAAATGAATTATAATGATTTTTTTTTTTTTTCAAATGAAATGTGGCAGAAACCAAGTGTCCTTGTGATTTCCTCCCTCTCATTTCCAAGGACACTAAATATTGTGTGGAGATACAGCCCAGTCTCCACAGGAGAAAATCTACAGTGCTGCTGACCAATGGAAATCAAGCCAACTCATAGATTATTTTTCTAGTCAAATGCTCCATTTAATTTTAACTCAGCTTCTCTCCCCTAATAGCATTTATTCAAAGTGGAACTTTGAATTATCATCAGCAGAACCTAGTTGGCTTGAATGATAGGAGTGCTGCCCATGTATCGTAAACATTTGAGCAGCGAACTGATTTCTGGATATTTCCATTCAAAAATATAAATGTGAAACCACTTATAGAGATGAAGTAGAAAGGCGATCTGCTCCTACGGTCCTCTACCTGGGAAATTTTGGGGGTCTGTGTGCACTATGTGGGGTAAATAACCTTAATGGATATGCTGGTGTAAAATCCTAGATGGATGATTCAATTTAACTACCTATTCTAGACAGGGAAGGGCACATATGTTCCCCAAATGATCAGATGGCAGAGGTGCCCCCAGTGCTTGCTTAGAAAGGGTTTTGAGGCTGTTTCTGGATGAAACAAAGACAAATGCTGTGATTGATTAGCTGTCTCTACCACAGGTGTCACATAAGAAAGGGGTACCAGTCCTGCCATCTTTTTGACACTACTATTCTAACCACTGGAGAGCAATGCTTCAAGTACATTTTTTTTTTTTAATTTTGGTTGTTTATCATGTGGCCCTACCCCTATGATTATCTCCACCTGGTTTTATATTTGTAGGGTTGTGGGTTTTTTTTTTTTTTTTGTATTAGTGTGTCTTTTTTTGTATTTGTAGTGTTTCTTTGCAGTAATTGGATATTAAAATGGCTACCAATACCCTAAAAATAAAGAATGAGAGGTCATCAGTTAATAATGAAACTTTAAATTAATTTTTCTGGGACTCACTGGTTCCTCAGAGGTGACTGGTGATCATGCTTTTGGGACAGCCCTCACTATATTGTGCCTCCTGTGAACTGTAATAGGCCTGTGCCGAGTGAAAGCCTTCTAGTTACACCAGTAACTAGAGTATTGGCTTTTGATTCCTAAATTCCTAAGTACTGGCTTTTGGACCAATTGCTACAAATCTGCATTCCCCAGAGATCCCATCCCTAGACATTCTGACCCAGTGGATTGTGGGGGCACATTGGAATCAGTAATTATGGGAGCATAAGAAAGTGCCCAGGAGATTCTGATCATGGCTAGATTTGGGAATAGTCTCCCAAATTTCTACTTTCTGAAAGTTCTATCCTATAATATTATATAATTTGAACTCGTTTTCATTAGATGTGGAATGTGACTTGGAGTTAGTAAGGGCTTAGTTCAAGTTGGAAGAAAATCAGAATTATGGAGTAATTATAAAGAGATGCCTTTTTTAAAAATATGAGTACTGATCTTATTAACATAAACTAAGGTTAATAAAATGTTGCCAAGTACAGGCTATTTTAATGAATAAATTAGCACATGATTTATATACAAGTGAATACTGCTAAAGTGTTATTAAAAGTGCTTGAAAACACTGTTTTCTTAGGCTGAACTGTCACCTTGAAATCTTATTTATATTCTAAATGCACTTGTGACAGGAGCTGTGGGGCTACATTTCAGCCCAGTCTGAGACACGATGTCCAATGCTGAGGGTGGCATGTGCCCTTTCTCCCCTCCCTTACTCTTTTGCCCTTGTGTGCATGCTCTCACAGCATCTCTAGCCCCATAGATGAGGCAACACATGTTCCTGCTTCTCCCTATTTGGAGAAGCATCGCAGGAGATGGAATTACTATAACAGTTCTATTTTTTTTTTTTCAATTAACTGCTAAGTCCTGCAGTATAGATAGTACCCACTAAGGGAGATCATGGTATAAAACTATGAAGGGATTGAACTTCAGAGACAGGCAGAATTAGTTTTAAATTCAAGTGCTACCTGCTAATTTTGTGACATAGGGCAAAGAATTAAAGCTCTGTGTTTTATCTTTAAAAATGGAGATAATACCCTTCAAAAGCTCGTTGCATGAAATATATGATATACTGTACCTAAAAGCTCATTGTGGGGATTGGTACCTACTAGGCATTTATTAATAGGTAGTGGTTCTATTCTTATTATGATCATTAATTTTGTTTTTCAAAGGACTAGCAGTTGGTGGGTAAAGGCAGAATTTATATTCAAAGCCAGGACATTGGATGCTTCCATTCAACACTCTTTTCAGGGGTCAGATTTCCAATTTTCCCTCTGCCTTTCACTACTCATTCTCAGATTCATCTTCCTCTTTGTGCAAAAATATACTTTTCCAGTTTCAGCACGTAATAAGATAATGTCTAGAAAGTGGCACAAGAAACATGAAGCATTGCACAGGCATTATTGGTACAAGACATAATGTGCATTAGACTGAGTGATCTTAATCAGAAATGATGGAGTGATGAGGGACAGCATTCTTTATGCTGATGGGAGCACTCATTCTAGATTATGTATCTGTCCATGAAATACAGCAAACAGACTTGCTTCGAGGGTGGGGACTGGGAACGGGGACAACAGGAGAGGGGGCTCCATAAAAAGCAATTGTGTTCCTTCTACTGTGGAAACAGAAAATGATGTGTAAAGGAGTGCCAGATTATAAATCGGCTAAGAATGTGGGGTTCTCCCTGGGCCCTGTTTGAGGAGAGAGAGTGACAAACTGGAGAAGGTTCACAGAAAGATGATTGGGATGGCAGAGTCTGGACATGGTGATCTGGGGAGTAGTGGAAGGTGGAGATATTTTGTCTCGAGAAGGGTGGACTTGCAGGGGGAAGGCAGTGACAGAGTCATTATTTCTAAATATTTGCCAGTAGGTGGGAAAAGTATTAAATGATCTGTGTGTCTTTGATGGGAAGGGGGTAGAAATCTGGGGTTTGGGGGCTAAAAGGAACCAGATATCAGCTCAACATAACAATAGATCAAATTGACAGAACTTGCTAAACACTTAGAGTGCCGTGTGTTTGTGTGAGTGATTGGGGGTATGTGGGGGCTTCCTTTTCCCAGATCCATGCAGGCACAGAGTAGATGGCCATGGTTCCTCAGGAGGACTTCTACATCCAGTCCTTGGAGGGACCCCTTGGTTCTAAGATTCCACTCTTTTCCAATCTGGCCCATTGGATCATTACCTTTATTTTTTGGTTAGGCAAGTTCTATAACAACTAGTGTGAGTTGTTGTTGTAGTTGTCATCAGAATAATAGCATTTGGGTTGCTGCCTAATAGGACAAAATTTTTTATGTAGCTCATAGAAATATAAATGTAGTTTTCCTCTGAGGTATGGGTGACCATGCTCTATTGATTTTTCTCATTCTCAACCTGCTTCCTACTTTTTCTCCAGTTCACTCTTGCATATGGTTGGCCCACAGGCTCAGCTTGCCTCCTCATGTGTATTTTATTTTTCCTGCAAAATATTTTTTAATGAGTTTGAATGGTGTTGGGCATGTTACTCATTCTTCAGGTCACTACATCTCCCCCAGCTCCCTGTCTCTTAGCAACGCTTGCCTCATATGTTTATGATCCCCGTCTGGCCACTGAAGCCATTTGTCTGAGATCTCTATTTCATGGACTGCCCCTCTTCCCTCTACTTCTCAAATGTCACTACTCCACAGGATTGTTGGTCTCCTCTACTGTGCATGTCACTTCCCTGTAACTTCCATTTTACCTCCTTGGTTCCTTACATATAGCACTATGGCCCTAGGTAAGTTCTTTAACTTCAGTATACCCTGCCTACCTCTCCAGTTCTTTTTAATTTCATTCTCCCTCACTGCTTGCTTTTGTCAAGTACATTATTCTTGTTCCCACCTCAGGGCCTTGGCACTCATGTTTCCTTTGCTTGTAACCTCCACTGGCTTCCTGTCTTCATCCACATCTCAGCTCAAATATCAGCTCCTTGAAGGGTTCTTTTCATGGATTCCCCCAGCCCATCTGAGATAACTAATCTCTTATCTTCTCCACAATAATTCTATCATATTACTATATTTATTTCCTTCTTAATACTGACCACGCTTGAAATAATTTTTTAGCTTAGTAATCAATGCCTGTGTTCCCAACTATGCTGTAGAGTCTTGGGAACAGGGACCTAATCGGGCAGAGGAGGTCTCCAAGAAATATTTGTTGAATGAATGAGTACATGAGGGAATGAGGCATTGAACTAGAAGAACTTGACATTCCCTACTAGTTCTAACATAATTTAAAGGGAGAGAACATCTTGCTTTTCAGGGGTTCAGTTTATTAACTTGGAGCTACATTGGGTGAGATTCTGACATGGTGATGTCAGCCATCTGAGGCTAATTTAATGGAGAATTTATGGAACAGAATCTGCTGGTCAGAAATCCGTGTGCACACAGTTCCAGATCGCCGCATGTCAGAAGGACGGCAAAGTAATTATAAACCTTGTCTGATTGCTAAGGAAGTCTGGGAGGCACGTGTCAACATTGATAAGTCACTTGCCTCCCCCAAAATCTAGACTCACGTGTCTGCAACAAATACAGATGTGGGATTTGCCGAAAGCAGCCTCCAGAATTCTCTTCCTTTCATTTCAATCTGGATTGTCCTATCTGAGGTTATCTTTATCAGCTCTTCCTCGAGCTTTCTGTCCTGGATGTGTCTTTGTGCATTTTGATCACTAATTTATCTTCCTCATTTCAGAGAGTGAGTCTCCTTTTTCTCCCTCAAAAATGAGTTTACACTCCACCCTTTTCAAGGAAAAATCTCTTATAAAGCCCTTTCA